TAAAACATTAGCTGGGGAGCGGTAAATTTTCACGGGGTTTTTTTTTTTTTTTTTGGAGAGGCTTTCGCTATAGGGCACGTGTGCTTGCCAGACAGACAGAGACAGAAAGCGAGAAATCATCCCCCAGGGGGGATGGCCACGCCATAATCCCTTCTCCTCCATTCTCCTCTAGGGATCTTGGGCACGCACGCACACACGCGTGTGTTTTAAGCCACCTGGTCCTGGACGTGAACCGTAGTCGACTATGTGGGAGTCCAATGACATAGCCATTACGCTAACTGCTGGTCCCCGAGATTTGCATTTTGGAAAAGGATAGTGTGGTGGCGAGGCACTCGGAGGGGAAATTGTCTAGATCTAGAGTGATCGTTCGTACACTTCACCATGCCTCAGGATCAGCTAATTCCTGGTCAGTCCGAGAGGGGTCCCAATCATGTGCTTTACTAACAAGCTCCCAGATGATGCTGATGCAGCTGACCGGGACCACACACGTGGGAGAGCCATGCTCTAGACTCCGGCCTCTCCAAGTGTGGGCCAGGCACCAGCAGCCTTGGCATCCTGGGAGCTAGTCAGAACCCCCGAGATGGACTGATCAGTCTTCCCATAGCAAAGGCCCTGAGTGATGTGTATGCACAAGCAGGACCCGGAGCACTGGTTTATTGACTTATGCTGTAGAGACGAGCTGAGACCTGGCAGGAGCCCCAGTCCTCAGTTCTGGATCCATCAGCGACTCCCTGCATTGCCTCACACATTCCCCCATAATAGGAAACTAGATCAAATCACAGCCAAGGACTCCTCTATCTTGAACCCTTCGTTAAAAGGCGAGGGTATTTAGTCAGCAGAAGTGCGTGCCACGCCTGAGGGGCCCAGTTCCTGGCTTTCTCTTGTAGATGGCTGGGCTTTTAAGAACAACGTGAACATCAGAAATCACCGGAACCTCCAAGACCGTCTGCAAGCGGCCCACCTGCTGCTGGACAGGAGCCCCCAGTGCCCCGTGGTGGTGGACACGATGCAGAACCAGAGCAGTCAGCTCTACGCGGCCCTGCCCGAGAGGCTCTATGTACTGCAGGAGGGCAGGATCCTCTACAAGGTGGTGACCTGGGAGCTGGGGACAGAGGGAGGCAGAGGGGCCCAGGGAAGGTAAGGGCAAAGAGAAGGCTTTGTATCGAGGAGACCTGGACTCGAATCCCTGCCCAAGCATTCACCAGCCATGTGACCATGGTGAGTCCTTTCCTCTCTTGGAGCTTCCATTTCCTCTTTTGCGAAATGAGGACTCTGGTCTGCACCTCACAGGGGGTAAAATCCTGTTCATGGAAGTCCCCAGCATGTGGACTGCGGCTGCATTCTCCCCAGCTGCCCTCTAAACCCAGGTGACTGACCCAGCCCGAGCTTGGCTTTAACCAGAGAGGTAGAAAAGGTTGTTTCCAATTTGTACATGATGCTCATTCAGAAAGGAGAACAGACTTGGGGGAAAGTCACACTGGACCGGGCTCCGATTTCAGCTCTAAATCCCCTGTTTGGGATGGTGCAGGAGTGGGAGGTTTCGAAGCTGCTATTTCTGAGGCGGGCCTGAGCCTGGACAGGGGTGCAGGGCCCTGAAGAGAATGAACCCTACGGCTGAGAGCTAGAAAGGCTGAGGTAGGAATGTGGGGCAGGAATGGAGTCCCTGTGTCCTTCTCAGTGACTGTTTCCCCTAAAGGTTTCCAGCCCAGTCAGGCCTCTGACCCCTTGGCCACTCTCAGCCTCCCTTAAGTTTTTTAGCTGCAGAGGGTTATTTGGAGCCTTGGTGCGTAGGTAAAACCTAGCCACACAGAGGCTCTTCTGACCATGGGTCAAGCTGTCCAGGTGAGACAAGCAATCACTTGTATCCTAGAGTGCCGAGGGTCAGAGTAAGGGAAGGGGAGGCCTTTCAGAAGATAGATGACTGCCTGGCCCTACACAATAAGGAGAGTCAGCCAAGTGGGCATGGCGGGTGAAAATCATCGCAAACACTGAGAAGAGCGTGGCCAAAGGCACTGAGGCATATTAGGTCAGGGTGTGAGCAGAGGATTGGGGACATTTAGGGTGCTGGAGTCTGGGTGACTTTCATCTTGGGGCAAAAAGAGCCACTGAAGGAGTTTGAGGTGGGAGGGGCATGATCGTATCTGTACTTTAGAAGGATCACTGGCTTTCAGGAGAAAAATGGACTGGAGGGAGCAAGAGCTGAGTCCTGAGGCTAGTCGGGAGGCGTAGCAGCTGACTGTGGCAGGCGTGACAGCCTTTGCCCATATATTGCAACTAAACTCTAAACTTACCTATCCCTTGCAGGGTGGAAATTTGAGAATATCTGACACATTTCTCTTGCAGGGTAAACCTGGCCCTTGGAACTACGATCCAGAGGAGGTGCGTGCTGTTCTGGAAAAGCTCCGCAGTTAATCTAGGCAGATCCCCACTTCCAGGAGACCAACATGAGGGCTCCTCCCGGCTTGGCTCTCCGTACAACCCAGTGAGCTTCCACCTTTGACCTGTGACTCCAGCTGAATCACTAACTCAGACTTTTTCTGATCTAAGCAAACAACACCCAGCTAGGGATTCTCATCAGGACAAATTGTCACCATCAGAAAGTGAAGCAACACTTGAGCTGCCAGGCAAGTGAACTTTAAAAAACGTACAGCTTCACGCTGCGCTGCCCGCACTGCAGAGGCCTCGCTCATCGCCCAGCGTCTTCAAGGAGAGCGCAGGCGCACTCCACAGGCATGCTTACGAGCTCTGGTACCTCCCGCCACTCTGAGACCAAGTAGTTATTATGATGTCCCTTCTAGTAAGAAAATTCATTTGACCAAAATTGTCATTTATGGTATTGATCAATTTAAGATACTACACTGGTTTTTAGACCCAAGCATGGGAAGAATTCCGGTTGTTAAAGATGGATGAGGAATTGGAAGAGAAAAGAGACGCAATGGGAGGAGACAATAATCCTTTCCTTGCCAAAAGATTGAAACCAGTTGGTTGTGGTCGTGGTGATGGGGGAGTGTTCATGGTAACACACTTCTAATGCCACCAGGGAAGAGGAGAGTACTCTCCACCATCTTTAAATACATTTGGTAGAAATCTGGCTCTTCTAGAAGTTTCCACAATCTTCACTTAGCGACACAATCACCTAGAAGGGGGGACAGGCTTCCCCAAAGCATTATCGTTGTGGTCAAGCCAGACAATGGGTACCAGCGAAACCGTCATTCCGTCATGCAGATGCATACGTCTGAAACTCTGTTTCTCTAATTTCTTTGCTAGTCTCTTAATGGTCATTCGTGTTAGGCTACATCAGACTAATGGATAGTCGTTGCTGGTCCTCTGTTTTAACTCTGCTTCTTTTCATATTTGTTTATGACGGCCACAGCCTAAAGTTCACACAGCTGTGACTTGATGTGAAAGAAAATGTTTTAAGATGCAGCAAGCTAATACAGAAAGATTAAAACATAGTAGGCTATGTTGGATGGCTTCAGTGTGATCTTTACGTCATCTTGGCCAACTCGTGTCAGCCTAATCTGTCTTTTATTACCGCCCAATGTGATTCGAGCAGAAATACCGCGTGCTGGAAGGGCCCCATTTGATGGGACGAACATGCCATCTGTATATGTTACAAGTCAAATGTGGTTCTGTTTTGTAAACTTTTGCTGGAGGGAAATGATTTCACATTGGAATCAAACTACCTTCATAACATGACATAAAAGAATGGGCCTATGGTTCAGCGAATGGTGTAATGGTTACGTCACAGGACTCCCACGTAGTCGAACATGGTTCAAGTCCCAAACCTGGCGGCTTAAAATTCACACCAGGTGCCTGCGTACATGCCCAAAATTCTCAGAGGAGAATGGAGAAGAGATTGCAGTGGAGCCATCCCATTTCTCGCTTTGTCTCTCTGGTAAGCACAAAAAGAATGTGCCTGGGAGACAGTTTGCTGGCCAGAAAACACATTCTCCTGGGCTCTGCTTTAGTTGTCATGACCTTAATATTATTGTTGCCATTTTACTCTTTTAAAAATAGTTACTACTCGGGACCAGCAGTTAGCATAATAGCTATGTCGCTGGACTCCCACGTAGTCAACCGCGGTTCAAGTCCTGGACCCGGCAGCTTAAACTCATGCTGGGTGCGTGTGTGTGCATGCCCAAGATCCCAAGAGAAGAATGGAGGAGAAGGGATTGTGGCGTGGCCCTCCCCCCGGGAAGTGATTTCTCGATTTCTATCTCTCTGTCTCTCTCTGTCTTTCTGGCAAGCGCACGTGCCCTATAGAGAAAACCTCTCAAAAAAAAAAAAATATAGTTACTACTGGGGCCAGCAGGTGGTGTGATGTTAAGGTGGTAGATTTCCACATGGAAGACTGCAGTTCAAGCCCTGGACTCAGTGGTTGAGAATCATGCCAGACACATATGCATGTGTGCCCCAAATTCTGAGAGCAAAATGAAGGGGGGTGAGGGTGGCAGGTGGCATGGTAGTTAAGGGTGCTGAATTCCCACATGGTCGACTGTGGCTCCAGTCCTGGACCTGGTGGCTTGCTTTCTCACTTTCCCTTTCTTTCTCTCTTTTTTCTCTTTTGCCTTAGGGTACATGCACTTGCTGGGGAGAGACAGAGACAGTGAAAGGGGAAGTGAGAAATCACCCCCTGGGGGAATGGCCATGCTGCAATCCCTTCTCCTCCATTCTCCTCCCAGGATCTTGGGCACACAGGCATAGGTGCCCAGCATGATTTTCAAGCTCCTGGATCTCGGACTCAAACCGTGGTCGGCCATGTGGGAGTCTAGAGCCTTAACCACTATACCACCTGCTGACCCTGGCTATTATTTTTCTTATCATTATTTTCCACAGTCTCTTTGGGCTCCCATTATAGAGGTTGGGGAATGGGTGGAGGGGCAACAATAGGAACACTGAATAAAAATCTCCCATCTTGCCAAAGCAACTGACCAGTACAGGCATGAGATTGTGAGGTTGTGCTGTGAATGAGCAGCTGTGAGAACGGTGGCCCTGAGCACAGCTGAGCACAGGCCTTCCTAAGAATTAAGAGCTCCAGGGACTAGCAGTTAGCGTAATGGCTATGTTGCTGGACTCCCCTGTAGTCAACCACGGTTTAAGTCCCGGACCCGGTTGCTTAAACTCACACCAGGCATGTGTATGTGCATGCCCAAGATCCTAAGAGGAGAATGGAGGAGAAGGGATTGCGGCGTGGCCATCCCCCTGGGGGGTGATTTCTTGCTTTCTGTCTCTCTGTCTCTCTCTGTCTTTCCGGCGAGCGCACGCGCCCTATAGCAAAAACCTCTCCAAAAAAAAAAAAAAGAATTAAGAACTCTAAAGGAGACAGCATACCAGGCAGTGCTCTTCTGAATCCCTCATCAGATATCTTCCAAATCATGTCTATAAACACTCAGCAGCCTCCAATTTTTTTTTTTAAGAGAGATTTTTGCTATAAGGTACATGTGCTCGCTGGAGAGACAGAGAGACGAAGAGCGAGAAATCACTCCCCCAGGGGGAAAACCATGCCACAATCCCTTCTCCATTCTCGTCTCAGGACTTTGGGCACACACGCATATGGACCTGGTATAAGTTTTAAGCTGCTGGGTCTGGAACTTGAACCATGGTTGACTATGTGGGAGTCCAGCAACTAAATATTATACCATCTGCTGGTCCTCAGCCTCCAGTTTTTAACAAATTATAGTAGCTGAACAGACAGATTTTCAGAATGGTAAAATAGATTCCAAACTTTCAAATTTGATTCTCTTCAACTGAATGCATCAAATGTTAATCGGTGGCTGAGCACTGATTCCTTTCTGGGTACAGAGTGGTGCATAGACAGACCAGGTACAGCTATGGTCTCGTAGCAGCTTCATCTCACATGGGAGCAGACACAGACTACAAGCACCATAATTCAAGGTAGAATGTATGTTAGAGTTGAAGTAAATGCTCAGGGGTAAGCAGGTGGCATAGAGGTTAAGGTGCTGTACTCTCATGTGATTGACTACGGTTTGAGTCCTGGACCCATTGGCTTGAAAAGTCATGCCAAGTGAGTGTATGTGCATGCCCAAAAATCCCAGAAAGGATTGTAGTGTGGCCATCCCCCCTGGGGGATGATTTCTCACTTTCCCTCTCTCTGGCAAGTACGTGTGCCCTATGGAAAAAACCCTAGTTTAAAAAAAAAAAAAAGAAAAAGACTAAATGTTCAGAGGGTAGAGTGAGAGAGCTGGGTGAATGTGGCAAAGCCTTTGAGTTGGGTGGATGTGGCAAAGCTTTATGGAGCTGGTGGCATTTGGGCTTGGTTTTTAAGGATGCCTAGCACTTCCATTTTGGGGAAGGTAGCCTGGAGAACATGGAAAAGGAGAAGGACATTTCAAGTGCAGAGAACTTCATGGGCAAAGTGGAAAAAGAACATGTGCGAGAGGTCTGGGTCAACTCTAATGCATGATGGAGAAGTGGCTTTTCTCTCTGAAGGAGACTTCTCTGGGTGCAGACACCAAGAATGAAGCACTCTGCTGTGCAAAAAGACAAGTACTGATCAGTGACAGAGCTTGCTAACAGTCCTGTCCAGATCTGAGGATAGTTTGCTTTTACAACATCTACGGATTTGAAGGAAATTCTTCATCACAACCTGTCTGCTTTGGAAGGAGGGTTCCCCCATGCTCTCTGAGGGAGATGCCCTTTGTAGTACGTGGCCTTCAGTGGGACTTGGAGCCTACAACCTGTTCTGGCAGATCAGAAGGCATAGGAAACCAAAGCTCTGATGACCAGGAATTGGCAGCTGTCCCCTAGCGTGACCAATGACTTCAGTATTCACCTCTTTGGAGCAGGGCTCTCAATTTGTCCCTGGCCCCAGGTATTTTATTTCTGGTAAACTCGGTCATTCATTCATTATTAAAATACTTATTTATTTCATTTTATTTTATTATTAAAAATTTTTTTTGCCATAGAACACGTGTGCTTACTAGAGAGAGAGAGAGAGAGAGGGAGAGAGAGAGATAAAGTGAGAAAGCAAGCTGTCAGGTCCAGGACTCGAATGGTGGTTAGCCATACGGAGTCCAGCACCTTAACCACCATTCCACCTACTGGCCTGTTGGCATTAATTTAAAAAGGTGGATTATATTTTATCCAGTATTGTCAGGTGTCTGAGGAAGGATTCCAGGATACCTAATCTGCCAAACACACGAGATCGCTGCAAGTCTCCAACTCTTCTGTCATGGGCACATTGTTTTGCTTTGCAGTTTCTAGTTACAGATTCCTATAGCATAGCGGTTCTCAAAATTTGACTGTATGAAAACCACCTGGAGAACTTGTTAAAACATTTTTGGTGGGGTCAGCAAGTGGCATGGTGGTGAAGGCATTGGCCTCCCACATGGTCCACCACAGTTCAAGTCCTGGAACTGGTGGTTTAAAAAAGCATGCCAGGTGTATGTGTGTGCATGCCCAAAATCCTGAGAGAAGAATGGAGAAGGGATTGTAGCATGGCCATCTCCCCTGGGGATTGATTTCTCACTTTCCCTCTCTTTGTCACTTTGAGACCCACTGGTGTAGTGGCTGTTGGTGGTGCTTTGCCCAGATGCCTTTTAACAGTGTGCACATCGGCCTGCTGCTTTGGAAGTTGGCTGCTAATGCTTCGCACATGTACCTTTTGCTGAGCATGGTGCCCACAACAGGAGCCACCTTACCCAGAACTGCCTAAGGGACCATGTCTTCCACCTGGGCGTGGCCCACAGCCAATGACTGATGCATCTTCCAGTGCAAAGGCCTGGGGAGAATATACCTCTCTGGTGCCATTTGTGCTCCGGAGCTTCCTCTGGAATGAGGCTGGGGCAAGGCTGAGGCTAGACTTCGGCTGAAGTCATATCTTTAGTTAACTTTTCCCTCTGTCTCAGCCTGCTTCTCTCACTTCCTTAAAGGCTTCTCCTGGGAACACAGCCTTAATATATCATTCCTATATTAAAAAATTTCCTGTCTCAGGCTCCATCTACAGAGAATCTGACCTACAGCAGACTCCCTTTGGGTTCCTTCTGATTGTTAGCGTTCTTTAATGAGGCTTATTTTGCTAAACTATAGAAAAGAAAGAGGAGTAAACTGGGTTAATCTGCAACTTTCATTTCGACTCATTGTCTTGATTATCCTCTTACTAAGTGTATGACTTCCTTCGCAATGGGGAAGTAATCACAGAAATCCCCTTCAGTCAGTCTGCTTGAGCTGCCTCACCTTCTGCTATGAACTGAATTGTGCCCCATCCTCACTCTCAAAATGTGTATGTTGAAACCTTAACCCTCAGTGGGAATATATTTGGAGATAGGGCCTATACAGAGGCAACTAAGGTCATACGGTGGGACTCTGATTGACAGGAGTAATGTCTTTTAAGAAGAGACACAGAGAGCTCGCTTTCTTTGAGCGCATATGAAGAAGAGGTCATGTGATACACGGCAAGATGGTAGCTACCTGCAATGCACGAAGGACCTCACCAGAAACTATGT